AGGGCAGCAAAGCACGCTCGTCAACAAAAACAATTAAGGTTCGTCCTTGCAAAGTTCGACTTTTTTTTCTTGCTCTCTGAGAGCATTAATCAGAAATTTGGTATAAAGGACCTGTGGAATCGCATTTTAAGCTCCCCACTTACAGATTCTAACGAAACTATTGGTGTTCAAAAAGGTCGCAAAAACAGCTGGAACGGTGAATATTGCAGTGTCGCAGTGGAGAGGAAACAGATGCAATAAGCACGTTGTGGAAAATGAGTGAAAGAAAGAAAGCTTAAAGACCGGAGATTATTCATGTAAGACCCAATGAGGCGACGATCTTCATGTCAAGGGTAATTTCCAAGAGTGGGCGCCTGCAAATATCTGATCAATCGTAGATTTAGCAAGTTTGAAGCCAAACTGCTAAATTCCAATCAGTTCGTTGACGGTGAGCTTCAATCTCTCACGCAATATGCTCGATAAGATCATAATGGGGTGTCTCTCTTTTGACTCATTTTCTTTTCAAATTAATATTTCGCTGTGTAAACTATTTCTGTGAAATCAAGAAGAGAAGCTTTGAATACTAGTGGGAATCTCGGCCAGATATATATGGGAACAGTAGCAGCAAAGGCAAAGATTTTTTGTTTCATGGTTTGGTTGTTGTTGTTACTGTGGGTTTGGTCTCACTATGTGTCCATACGGATTTGGCGTGCTTGCGTTTGGCCGCTGTGGCTAATTATACATTTGCACTTGGCGTTCGGCGTTTTGGTCGCACAACTTTTTTTGGCATTTTCCTTCCGTTTGATTTTTTTTTACTTTTGCTGCTTTTGTTAATGAAGTGTTTTTGGTAAATTGGCTGCTTACATTCTCATTCATGCACTTATTGGTGTACAAACAGACATTTTCTTTTCGTTTTAATTTTTCCTTCTATACCCATTTACTCTGTTTACTAGAATGTGGGTGATGCCTCTGAGTGCCAATTTAATTTAGATAATAAACTTTTTTATTCTTCAACATTTTTTTTTGCTGCGGCCCGCTGACTAGCATATGTACTGTTGACACCTGCTGTGCTCCATACATACTCGCACATAGTGGTACAACACGACTGCACATTCGTATATTTCCAGCAATGTTACACACATGTGTATGTGTATATGTTAGCTTCCCAGTTTTTTTTTCTACATGAAAACGTGACTTTGGCGCTTTTGGATATTCAGCTTCCGTGCACTTCGGACCAACATATCCATACAACACTTTCGCGTGCTTGCAGCAAATTATTAGACATATAATTTGAACAACATGCAAATATGGTGTTGCAGATACTCATGGGATTATGGATTTGTGGGTGCTGAATTTGTGAAAAAGTATTTTAGCTGCACAGAAGAGAGAGGACATAAAATTTAAAAATAAAAAAATTTAAAATTTTTTCTATATTTTTTGAGATTTCTACGTGCAAAAAATATAAGTTAGGTAAGAAGTTATCTTCCAATCAGAGAAAACAACAAGGCATATTAGTGGATAACATATTAGGATTTTACTGCCACAATATACAAACTACAAATCCGATACGCTGAGTTTAATGAAATGAAAAGAAATAAAATTAAATTAAATTAAATTAAATAAAACAGAAATAAAATAAAATATAATCAAATGGAAAAAAATTAATAAATTAAAATAAAATTATAAAAACTAATAAAAAATAATAATATAAACAAAATAAAAAAGAACAGAATAAAATAAACTAATATAAAACTAAATAAAATGAAAAAACTAAATAAAATCAAATCAAATACTACAACTTAAACATAAAATTACAATAAAATAGAACAATCAAAAGTGCAAAAAATAAAAATAAAATGATTAAGAAAGAAAACAAAATATAATAAATAAGAAAAGAATTAAAAAATATAATGAATTAAATAATTAATAATTATAAATTTAAATTAAAAAAATATTTATTATATGTTACTAAAAAAAAACGGTATTTCGTCTTAAAATAAATTATACATATAAAGAAATAACATACTGAAATAAATAAAAACAGAAAAATTAAATATTAATTAAGGTAAAACAATGAAATGTAAAGAAACTAAATCGGTAAAAATTAATTGAAAAAAATATCTAACAAAATATGTGTTAAAAAGTAAAATATAATATAAAATAAATAGGAAAATCGAATAAAAAATAAATCAATTTAATAAAACTGGTAAAAATTAATTTAAAAAAATAATTGAGAAGTATTACCAAAAAATGTGTCTAAAAGTAGAATAATATGAAAAATAAATTAAGTAAAATGAAATACAAAAATAATGGCCAAAAATTAATAATAATCAAAGAAAAATAAAGTAAGTAAAATTATAAAATATGAAAAGTAAAAAGTAATATATATACTAAAAATAATTATAAAGAAAAAAAAACAAGTATAAATAATGAAATAGAACACAATAAATATAAAATAAAAGCAATAAAGAATTGGTGGAACAAAATGAAATGAAATGGTTTTAATTATTTAAAAACTAAAAACAATATATAAATTAAGGTATAAAAATGCATCAAATTAAAATTAAAAAAAAATGCGTTCCATCTCACCCCAATCCGTACTCTTTCGGAAATTTTTATTATATTGTATATAGTTTTTAGCGACTTAGATTCTTTCTGCACTGGTTCGTTCATAAGACCTATGGCAAATCTCATCAGCTACTATTTCGTTGCCATGCTTTACGGTGAAATTAGATTTCATTCCAAATAAAAAACTGAAATCTATTTCAAAAATTTTTTTTCAACATTTTATTGGTTTTATATGTAAATATATATTTATGAATAGCATGCATTTGTTGTAATTACTAAGTTTAACATAATATATGTATGATTTATATTAAATGTACGATGTCCGTATATGTATGGAGTTGTATAATGACTTTCAATTGCTATAAAAAGCAATTAGTAAATAGATGAGAACAATTATGAAATAGATTTATAACTTAATTTTATGAATATGTATATATGTGTCATTAGAGATGTACTTTAAATGAACGGAAGTTGTAGCCAAATTATTAATAAAATCAATTAATTTCTTTATAAAAAGCTCTAAGGATTTTGAACAAAGAATTCGTTTCAAATTTTAGTAAATCTATTTTCTCTCCTAATTAAAAAATTTATTACTATTTTAAATTATTTAAATCTTTTTAGCAAGCAATTAAAAATGGCATATTCGTAACACTAAGTACATCCCTAATACGATAAAAGCTTGTTGTTATTAAAAAAGTGTAACAAAGCTTACGAAGTTTCTGAAGCATACGAAGTGTCAAATCACTTATTTTTCACGTTTCATATTCTTTAATTTTATTTTATGTTATTTAGTTGGTATGTAACATGCTACGTAAATTAGACACATTCTTATCATAGACAATGCTTTGAAAAATATTCAAATTTAATTACGAATATCAGGACGTTTTAAAGTAGCTCTTCTTTTTGCAGTAAATAGTGGAATTTGATCAATAAAAATTAATTTAAAATAACATATTTCTAAGCAGCAGAGGAAATTCAATGCAAAAAAATAAAATATAAACTTTAATTAATAATATTTTAATTACTGTAGTGTACTGAATTAATGAACTTTTTGCTTGTAATTTTAATTTTCGCAAATTTTTAATTAAAAATACAACAAAAATCTATGAAAACGTCAAATTTCACTTTTATTATACCAATTTATTTTAAAAAAATATATTTGCATTTTATTTATTTGCATAATACAAAATAAATTTTCTAACAAAAAATTTCTTATAATTTTTTATAAAATAATTTTCAGATAAAATAATTTACATTTTAGGTTTAGCTTAGATTTCAAACCTTTTTTTTTGTAATTCTGTAAATATTAAAATGAATCTAAAATACGGGAAATATTAATTTGAATTTTATTTTTATTTAAATTGTCTATTTTTAAAGAAATATTAAACTTTTTTTTGGAAAATATTACAATCAAGCTTAGATTTTTATTAAATATAGTAGATTTGAAAAAAAATTAATAATAACCCAAACCCAAAAATGATAACATATGCATATATAAAGAAAACTCTATATTTATGATTTGTGGTAAAAAGTTAGTAACTTTTCTTCTATGAAAATTATTAACCAATATTTGATATGAAATGGCTACTTAAATCATAGAATAAATATAATAACTTATGAAAAAACTTGTTAAAGAAAAATTTTGGAGGACAACATTTTAGATCTAGAATGTAGGCAGAATATAAAGTGAATTATTTTTTTTAATTTCTTAGAAAATTTTTTTTTTTATTATTCTCAATTTTTATTAAAAAATAATACGGAGCTCATGAAAATTTCACAAAAGCGGTACAAGTTTATCTTTTAAAAATTTGGAAAAATATTTAGAAAAGAAAATTTTGTAAAAAAAATTTAGAAAAAAATTAAAGTTGCATTGTTGACGTAGCGATAAATCACAAAATTCATCAAAATTGCCAAATTCTCCAAATCAACGAAAAATGCCGATAAAAAATCGAATTGTGGTTTGTTAAATAAGAACACATTATAAATAAAAACTGTAAAGGAAAATTAATGGAAAAAGAAATTGATAAGTAAATAAAAGTTTGTTCTTTAAATTTTAATCTTACTAACCAATCAAGCTTTTTAGTACATAAACAATATATGTATTAGCACATATAGACAGTGGAAAATTGGAAAAAAATGTGTACGGATGTATACAGGAATGTATATGTATATTTTCTACTAGTCCAGCACTTCAGAAAGTATAGTTTTTTTCTTTTTTTCACTTATGCATTTATATATAAAGTGTGTGTGTTTGTGTGCATATGTGTGTGTATTTATTTCCCTTTTGCTAAAATCACATTCAATTACTCTGTAAAGGCCATCTTTAGAATAGAAAATGTGCCAATTCTTACATTCTTTTGATTTTGGCATAGATCAAATCTTTACAATTTCATATTTGTTTTATGTTTCTTCTTCTTATTTTTTTGTTTAATTCTTTATAATTATGTATTTCGTATGTATATGCTTTTGTATGTGTTAATTATGTGTAGTGGAAGTGTTTCGTTATCATCACACTTTCAATTGAAATGCGTAACCGGAAACTCATTTTTATCCTCTTCGTCACTGACATACATTCGGGTTAGATCCGAGGCGACCGATGCACAATCGCTGCTGTAATGAGAACGAAAAAAAAATGGTGATAAATAAATTTTTGCAAATTTTATATTGAATATTAGAAAATTAAAATTATCAAAAATTGTAGGATTTTTTTTTGTATTTTTTTTTTTACGTGGATTCACAACAAGAATATATACAGAAAGTTTTAACCGACGTAAAGGTAAGAGAAGTTTTACTAGCTGGGGGCAAGAACCCGTTATTATTAAATATCATATTTTCGGTCTTATTTAGAATTTTTATTTAAATATGTGTATATTACCAGAGCTATGGATGGCCGGAGTTCGACCCCTGGTTTGACCAAACCTCCTAAAAAATGGAAAATTTTAATTTTAATGGCGGTCGTCCCTTGGCAGGGAATGTCAAGCCTTCTGAGCGTATTTCTGACATGAACTAAAAAGCTTCTCATAATTCCCTGCATGAAGACCCGCACGACAAATCAAAAAATTAAACCGATGGCTGTCCCTAAAGTACAATCAAAGTTATCTTAGAGGCAATTTCAAGTCCTTATGATGAGCTTTAAAATATTTCCATACCAAATTATTGAACAAATACTTGGATGATTAAAAAAAAAAGCTTTTCTCTAATTATTTTTGTTGAAACTAATCTGGACAAGTAAAAATGAGATATTGTATATTCTCTTCTCAACGTTATTTCCAATAAGCTCTAAGCAACTCTCTGCATTCTTGGAATGCAGACAAAATTGTGCGTTGTGAAGAATCGGTGAGAATCCCTCCGAGCTGTTCAATACCAAACAAGGTTTCCTTATCGTGTGACTTCTTCATTTCAATGCGAGAGAAAATCAAAAGAGATGCAGAGCTAAACAGAGCGCAGAACTGCTTTACTACACCTGATGTTCTGCTCTATCTAGACCAGATATGAAAGCCGAGCCTGGAGAGTCTGGCAGTGAACAAGGACTAGAAATAACTTTGAAGTCGTAAGTCATTCCACGTTCCATTGTGTGCTGCAGAGGCCTCTATGATGAGAACAGCAGATGTGTCTTTGGGCATTCGCAACGAATACAACAGCCGATGGAACTGTAAGCTGTATGAGATATACGACTGGCAGAGAATCAAAGAGGATATAGAGGATATGCGTGCTACAGAACGAGAACAATCTAGCATTGAAAGTATTCGATGCAGAATTCGCTGGGGTAGGCAGAAAAAAGGAAGAGGAAGAAATTCACTCCATTGAAAGGATAAGGTGGGCAGCAAATTAGTTTCACTTGATATTTCAAACTGTTGCCAGAAAAGAACAAATGTCATGCCATTGAACGTTCGGTTATGAAGGCGTATGATCTTACCACAACACAAATTCCGGCTTTGTTATCAGAGTTACAAATGATAAATATTTCCAAACATACTTCTACTTATCACTATACACTTTGGTGCTATCTATTCTATACAACAGAAATTCATTCCAAGATGGATATAAAAAGGTAAATGAAGGGCTTTTCAGTTATTCATATAGGAATCTTGATGAAGCAGAAAGTTCTTTAGATCATAATGCAATGATTTATATTTTTCATAAAATCTTCTTGAGTGTCCACCATAAAAAACTAGAGTTGAACTCGTTTTAGATAAGAATCATCACTGCTAATACCTTAAACTTCCCATACGGAAAGGTGTTTATTTAGGAATAACGAGTTTCGAAACCAGATTTTATACATATTTTATTATGGCTTAAGTACTCTGGAGGTTTAGAATGAAATGAGTTGACAGTCTGCTTGATTCCAAAAATGGTGATGATCGGAGTGAAATGATTGTAGTTATTTGTCATATCATAAACTAAAACTACAAAAGGGAGAAGGGTTACTACTTACGCGTATTTCAGCAGAGCACCACTCGAGAGATCATATCCAATTTGTTTCTTACCATCCCTATACAACTGCATACTAAAGCGGAAAATTTTATTTCAGCCTGCGCAGCCATACAAGGTTTTTAAGCAAACTACTTGAGGAAACATCACTTCACTTCACGTAATACGATGTATCACAAGCAAGTATAGTATTTTCATTGCTTCTAAGCATTGCAAGCAAAAGGAATTTAAAATGTGCACATGGCGCCAAAAGTCTACTCCAAACCTACAACATTTTTCGTTTGCAATATTAAATAGAAAAATATAGGGAAGATCAGAATTTGACTGTAGCCAATTAGCTTAGACCAGAAATAGAGCCATTGGGATGCTACAACTTTCTCGCCACTAAATTCGCTATTTAATCACTCCGATTTCAATAGACGAGTATCACCAAGAGGGTTAGTCTCGAAGTTTCCAAATATCTGCATATAAGATCAGTTATTATTTCCTGCTTCTCATAATTTTCCAGCTTCTGTAGTATCTCTCTTAAGGAAGTCCCCGTCTTTCTACTAGGATTGCGTATATCTGGCACCACTTCATAGTTTAGTTACTCAAGTCACAGTTTGCAAGTAGTGTATGCGGCAATAAAATATAATTATTATTCCTAAACCGGCTTTCAATTAATATCTTGGTTACAGAACTTGCTTTTTTTATTTAAATATGATTTAATACAAGAGATGGGCATAGGTCTATAATGAAGTGGTAATCTATAATCCTTTACAGATTTTAAAAAAATGAACTTTCTCGTGTTATTTAAGATATGACACTTAACTAAATTTAATCGAACCGAAGGAGCTGGGTATCACCACCGCCAGTATGTGCTTCGACAATCTCTTTTCACCTCTACAGTGAGCTGTGAAATTCACTCTCCAATGATAAATATGAGCATGAGATTACCAGACCACTACTAATCTACCACGCAGAATCAAAGCCACCGAGTTTCTGCTGAAATCTACGGCAGCACATCAAAGGTGGCTATGAAATTCAGAAGCAATCTGAACAAACTCTTGACTAAATGGAACACTGCCTGGGTACCCGTGACCTGACAGTTATGGCCAAAATTAGACACGAAAACAGTCAAGACATCTCATATTGTACATCTAGACTGGATCTCTATTATCATAACAACAGGCATAATAACAAGTCACTATTTAATGGTCCATATGGGAAAAAAATGGGCAATCACTCTAAAGACTTCTGCCACAGCTGAACGGTCGAAGAAAAATAATAGGAAGAGGTATAGGACACGGGAAATATTTCTTTGGCTGTATCGCTGTACCAGTTTCAGGAAAGATAATCTCGTCGCTTTTATGAAACATAAGAAATGGTTTAAACGTTTGAGAAGATGAAGATAGGAGCCTCAGAGAGGTATCACAGCCGCATCAACTCTACTCTGGACTTATAATTTAATCAATGCATCTGCTTATTTTAATATATTTATATATAATATAAATGATGGTTGAAAAATATGATGGTAGAGTAGGCGTAAGTATCCATTGAATCTTATTTTTAAGCAATCGGATCAATGCAGCTATCATGAATACTTAGGAAGGCACAGCTGGGAACAAAAGTTATTATTTCACGATTAGAGACAAAAAATCTAGAATGATTTATATTCTCTCACAAGGGGAAGATAGCATCTAACAATCGCTTTTGCGTGTGGCAAAAACTGTGGTATGTAACCTAAAAAAATTCTTAAATCATTCTAAGCAATTGACAAAATAGCCATAAAAGTATATCGGAAGTTCCTTCAAATCTTAGTATATAAAAATGAGCTGCACCAATCTTTGTGAAATTTTCAGAGGTTGTTCGTCGTTATAGAGTTACTGAGAAATAGTCGGATATTTGGATAGTTCCAACAAGGGACTTTTTTCATACAATTTTTTATTTTCAGTTTTTTTTTTGTTTTTTTTTTGTTTTTCTTTTTTTTGTTTTTTATTTAATTTTGCTTTTATTTCTGATTTGTTTATTCGAACAGTTTCCATTTTTTTGTGAATCTACCTAGCCTCATTTCCATTGGTATTTATTTGTGTCACTTCACAGCTGATTTGATAATCATTTGATTCGTTCAATTTCGGTCGTTGCTTTCTTTATTTCCGCTATTCAAAGGGTAAATTATTGAAAATTATTCAGTGTATTTCATACAAAGTGATCAATTACAGATTGAAATTTGTTACGATGTCACGAAGTAGTCGAGATAATATCAGTTGCCACCTCTTAGAGAACAGGTAAAGGCTACTGCAAGGAAATCTGCTCGAATCGGTATGAATGAACGTTGAGCGCGACAACCACAAGAGTCTCACGAAGCTTACAATGAGCAACAACGATTGAGAAGAAGACAAGTTCATGCTCAGGAAATCCATGAAACAAGAGTACAACGTTTAGTTGCTCAACGACAATGCCTGCAACAACAACGATTGCCTTCTTTGAATATGGAACTTGCAGCCTATCGATATGAGCTGCGATACACTGAAATTTTTAAAAGAACCGGCCACAATCCGCGAAAGCGAAAAAGTGGAATTACTAGAGTTACTTCCTCCATCAGACCCATTGCGGTCATTGCTTTACGGTGAATCACCAAATTCGAAACATTTTCTAAAAAATTCCTAGATGTATAATAACTTCCATTCAAAATTCTTGCAACTATCACATTATTCGCTAGCTACTGATGTAAAAAAATGTGGGCAGACAAATCGTAAATAAATCATTTTCAACACAATATAATTTCAACTTTCTTTTCTTTTTGAAAAACATAATTTCACGCAGGACAACGCCTGCGGAGTTAGCTAGCATACATATGAACCTATTTAATTAAATAATATTTTTTTTAAACTATTGATAATTGAACAAACTTAATATACCTTGCATACTCAGCACGTTGGGTACAACAGCTATGTGAGTTATTAACTTTGGACGGTAGGCGTTAGAATGATAGATAAGGCCTCACTGATTCAAAATTAAACTAAATTGCTTCACGCTATTTTTCCAATTGATACGCAATCAATAAATATTTTTTTGTATTATTAAATATTTGATATAATTGGAGTAATTAAGGAATTGCTCTACTGAATAAGCCGACCACTAACTAAACATGATTAATTACAAAGTTTGTATTACAAACATATGCACATACATATGTAAACAGACAACATTCACATACCGCAAAAATGTTGGCGCCATTCAACCAAGCGGGAAGAAAATGTTCATTACATAGAGACAATTGAAAATTCATAACAATAAGACTGTATCAATTCTTTATGCGCATTCACATATACACACACATCAATTCATATACACGTGTATACTCGCACATACATTTCGATTAATGTGGTAAATGTGCTTATGTGCTTACGTACTTATAAGCACTAAAGTACTCAAATAGGAGCTGTCTTACAGTTAGCCAAATTGAAAAGCGAAAAACAAGTGGCAGCTTGTCGGCAATTAGACAAAAATGGTAAGGAAAACAATCGCGACCAAAGTGGAGAATAAAAAAAAGCCACACGGCACTTAAAAGCAAATAATGTAAAGCATAAGTGTTATATTGGGGAGGAAACTTTTTTTGCTATTCGCTTAACTCTCATTTTATACTTTTTTATTTTTTTTTTATTTTTTCTTTAAATTTTTTCTTCGGATTTGTTCACTGCTCCGGAAAGCAGCGAGCCATAAAAGTCCATAAAACAATGCTACGCAATACTGCGCACATAAGGTTATAAATAAAAGAATTTTAAACTTTTTTTTACTCACATACATATTAGATTAAGCAAAATGTAATCACATATTAATGCAATTGATGTCTTTAGTGAACTGTCTCTCGCGTTCTATAAGTGCGACCGGATTACACTTGATGGCGTAAGAAAGATGATATTTTGTACTTTAAAGATAACGATCAAAGCAAAGAGAAAAATCGTCATATTTCCGTTCCGGTAATTTCAGTGTAAAAGATACTCCACGGTGTTGAAGGCCAATTGTTGAAAATGTTGGAAAAATAGTATCGATCGTCCATTCTGATCATCAGGAAAGCACTGTTTCGAACGTCCAGAAGCTAATCATTGAACAAAAGACAATTTGGAACCACTGGAAAACCGCTCAGCCTAGCACAGTGGTTCTCAATGTATGGGCTCCACATTTGTTAACGAGAAAAAGCCTCATAAACCGTATTTCGATGTGCGAGTAGCTGCTGAAACATAACAAACTCAACTCAAACGAAAACAAGCGTGTTCATAGCGCAGTGAATTAGCACATACGGTCTCAAAGGCAGGAATGACGGCCACGAAGATTATTTTGTTTCTTTGCTGAAATGGGCAAGGAATCTAAGCTGCTGGCTTTAGGAGAGTCCAACTCGTATTTCAGATCTGTGCTGGCTGTAATCGGGCCGTCGAAAGGAGGCGATTTTCCTTGGCCAATTGATGGTGAATTGTGTTTCATCTGGGCCTCACATCGGTTATGTTTCGTTCAAAGCATCGAGTGCTTGATTAGGATGTTCTTATATAGCTATCTTGAAGTCTTAAGCTCGTCCGAGTTATTACCAACGGTTAATGTCTATGGTGAAGGATTTGGTTGATTAGGAAGTGAGTTCAAGAGAAGCCTGTGAAAATCGCTTGTCTAAATTTTTTGCCAACAGGAACAAGGGTTTTTATGAGAGAGGAATAATGACATTACTTTCAAAATGGCCAAACTTCATCCATCAAAACGGTACATATTCGACATAAATCGGTGGTAAATAAAGCGGAAGGCCATTGCTCAAATACTGTTACGACCAACATCCAAAAGTTATAGAAATTCAAATTAAACAAAATATAAAGTTTTTATATGCGGTCGCTCCCCGGCAGGGAATGTCAACCCCTTCGGCTCTTCATAAATAAACAGTCAGCCGTTCGGAAAACCCCAAATTGTAGGAGGAGCTCGGCCGAAAATCGTTTCAGCGGTTACAAAGCGTCGATTATATATATATATAATATGTATCTATATTCATGTATTCTTGTAATCACCTTAGATGGTGTGTACTGCAGCTATCAAATTATTTCGCTTGCGTACCTTCATTTTTCACCTGATTTTTGCGCTTCACTAACCACGCACAACTCAAAACGTTTCGCATAACAAACGAAAACACATAAATAACAAATTACCCAAACACATGTGCTTATACACATGTACACATGTATGTGCATAGCAACATAAGAGCTTAGAGGCGCCAAAAATAGTGAAAGATTTTTATTTAAGGTAAGCTCGTTGAACATTCCGTCCATTTTTTAATCGAGATTCATACAAAATGCCTGACGCGCATGTTTGGTTTTCATGTACAAGTGTACATACATACATGTGTATAACAAATAGTAGTAATATACAATAGTATTTATTTAGTATTTGTGAAATGACTGGCAAATGGAATTATGAACGATTTAGTTTTTCTGCATTTTGCCCATCCAAAGATACATATGCTTAGAAATATATGTATATATGTATGTACATATGTAGCTAGATACAAATATATGTATAGGTATGGGTATGAGGCTTAAAGTGGCAAAGGCGAGTAGTTTAAATTATTATTGAATGACACACATCGCTTTTAACGTTGTTTTAAGTAGATGTCTAAATAAGAAATATATACATACGTACATACGCATATACAAACGTATTGGTTGTAAGAATGACCAAGTCCCACTTTGCAAAAGGGATTGCATCATTGTTATCAGCAACATTGCGTATCGCAGTAGGGTGGACTGGGCGATAAAGTCCTTCCCGTCCTTAAAATTTCATGGACTAGATGGTATCTTCCCCAATGAACTACAGCGGGCTGAGGGTATGTTATGCCCAATTCAATGTAAAGTTTACAAAGCCTGTCTGCGTGGCCCCAAGCCTGGACTAGGGCCAAAGTCATTTTTATCCCAAGATTAGGAAGAGCTCGCCACTGCAGTTCAAAAGACCTTCCGTCATAAGCCTTAGCTCTTTCGTTTCAAAAATCTTTGACAAGCTGATTAACCGCTATATAAACCTAAATTCAATCTCAGACAGCCTCTCGAGCAGGCGACATGCTTGCACTAAGAGTAAGTCTGTCGTAACAGCATTACATGACTTAGTCGGTTGCATCGAAAGAGGACTTGCCTTGAAGGACTATACGCTTGGTATCTTTATTGGCGTTCAGGATGCTAACAATAAAACGCTTCTGGAATTCGTAATAGATGATCTTCAAGAAATAGGTTGGGCTGTTGAGACACATAGTGAACTCAATTTGAGCCATAGCACGCGAGAAGGTCGTCCTATAACACTAATTTACGTTTGCAAAACGGTTGAGTCTAAGACTGAATATCGTGTACTGGATTTAAATTTTGGTAGTGACCGTAAGGTGGCCGGCAGTGGACAAAATTACCTTCAGGAACAAATTAGAGAAAGTTCAATGATAGGCTGTCTCTCTCAAAAGCACTGCTAATTCTTCTCAACTATCTTTCTCTGGACCTAAAAGGGAAATTACAAGCGAGTTGCACTGCAATAAGATTGAATGTAACGCAACCTTAGAAGAATTGAAGTATTAGACACACTGTAATATTATCTCTTCCAGAAGTGTCGAAGTACCTGGACTACACCACATGCTGTATGTGTTTTGAAAAACTTTCCTCCACAAGAATCCAAAAAAGAAATGAGTGAGAAAACGCCCTCGATCAGAGAGCCATAGCTCTTTTTACAGACGGCTCAAACCATCGATGCTCCCGTTGAATATGAGCATGGGACTAACAATCGGCGACAATATATTCCGTCAGTCAGATCAAAAATTTCTATAAAATGATCATTATTTAATGGGATTTAATGAAAAATAAGAAGAAGAACAGTCTATCGAGTAGTCTGTCACTGTCCAGCCCCGACATCTGCGCAACACAAATTTCTCGGAAAATACTTCTTCGACCGTCTCGCTGAGCCAGCCTCAGCGAAAATTAGAAATCTCGTTACTTCTATAAGTCACACGAAATGGTCCGAACATTTGAGAAGGTGAAAACAGAAGCCTCATAACAGTATCACAATGGACCTATTGGCCTAACTCTTTTGGTTATAACCAGCAGCAGCAGCCACTCAACTAAACTCAACTCATATCTCGTACATCGTCTATTCTTCTCTTTTAATTGTTTTTCATACAGACGTACTTTGGGTTTTTGATGTCCCTTCTCCGATACCCTCAGAAAGTACCAATAACCCAGGTTCAAAGAAAAAATAAAAGAACTCTAATTTTTGAAAAAAAAAAACCATTGCAGTACTCACTAGGCAATTTCATGCTCATACACGGACGCGACCATGGCGCTGTATTCACTTTCCAAATTACTGTGCAGACCGCCAAGCGTTGTGGTGCTCAATGCAACACCGCTGCCTACGCCACCAACACTGCCATTATTAGCAACACCAGCACCAACTGTGCCACTAGCAATACAGACAATGCCACCGAAATTCAAATCTGAGCTTGTCGTTGCTTGTTCATTGCGTTCGAACGTCTTTATTGCAGCGTCGAAATGTTGTTGATGTTGTTGTTGCTGCTGTTGTAGCAACATTTGTTGTTGCTGATTTTGTTGTGCTTGTAAATGTGGTTGCTGTTGTAGTTGTTGCTTTTGCTGAGCTTGATGTTGTTTCTGCAAGTGTTGTTGTTGTTTTTGATAAATGATAAAATTGTCAGTGGCGGCCACTGCTGCCGCAGCGGCTGCGGCCATTGCTGTTGCAGTCGCTGTAGACATTGTATGTGGTGAATTTGGTATTGTTGTTGCTGCTGCTGCTGCTGTTGCTGCTGCTGGTGTATGTCTGCGCATGCCACACTCTATTAAGCCCATATTATTAGTCACATGTTTAGCATTGTTGTTGTTGTGGTTGTTGTTGTTGTTACAACTGTTGCTGTCAGATTGATTGTTGACGAATGTATTGCTGTTGCTGCTCTCCCTGCCTGTATAACTGCTGCTACCAACACAAACATCAACTGTTTTCATGTTATTGTTGTTGTTGGTATTATTATGGTTCCTATTGTTGGTATGCATGTTGCTGTCATTATTGAGTTCGCTTAAATTGTTGACATTTTTGTTTTTGTTACTCTTTGTGCTGCATTCGCTGTTGTTGCTCCTGTTGTTGCCGTTGTTGCTGTTGTTGATGTTGTTGCTGCTGCTACTACCATTGTTATTATTACTGTTGCTATTATTGTTATTCGTCTCATTATTCAATCCAATTATATTGTTGACGGATGGACACTGGTCTGTGGGGATTAGTATTGTTGTATTTGGCACCAATGCAACCGTTGCATTTGTAGCCGTAACTAAAATATTCTGTTGTTGTGTTGTTGTTATCGTTGCCGTTGATGTTGTCGGTGTTGTTGCTGAAGCAGTTGTCACCAATGCTGATGGAATTTCTGGTGTGCTTGTGCTACAAAGAGAAGAGATAAACAAAAAACAAAAATTAACATATTATTTTCACAACAATAACAACAGCAACATCATTGTAACATACATATATACATATGTCTAGCTAAATAATACTCATTCACATACATACAAACATACAAACGTAACTCGTGGAAAGTCTCGCATTCAACTCCATTCACAATTTCAAATATTGAATTTCAAATCGAGTTTACATTTCGAATGCACACTCGTAAATGGGAGGTTTTGAATTGGTAATTGAAATTGCTTTTCAAACTTACATCACCCACATGGACTCGTATGAATATACCATATCGCTATATGTAAGCATGTTTATGAATGTGTATGGTGGTGAATTTAATTAACACAGAAAAAAGCGTTTACCGCTAAGGTGATCGAATAAACTGTGTGTTATCTATGTGAATATCTGATTGACTGTCAGCTTCTCACCATCAAGTGGTGGCGTAGTAAGTAGAATACTCCAATGATACCCATTTGCTTCTCTTCATTACTACCTACGTGACATATTATATTCGGCAGGCCATTTAGCCCTTGCCAACTGGTAACATTAGCCATGTGGGATTTTTATCCTCTTACGGCGAGGTTATCGTCCGTCCTTTCTTTTCTCTATATATTATACTAGAAGACCCGGCCACACGTTGTTGGGGTTTCTTATATTTTCTGCAAATTTATACTGAGGAGTTTTCCAACAAAAGGTGTGATTTTGATATTTAACGAAAATTTGCATTTTTTGAGATAAATGAACGAATTCTTATTTCAATGTTAAGACGGCATACCATTCGCATTCAATAATGAAAAACAATATCAGCCAAATGGACGATATGGCTTTTTGGTAGACTTCGTCTTTCACGTGGCCCTGAAGGTATTAAATCCCTAGATCTCGGTGGCCAATTGCGAATATCTCTTCGAGGGATAACAGTAGTCAAAACTTTTTTTCTTAAAAGATCGATGATTTCTTTGCTGGTGTGGTACGTAGCGCTGTCTTGTTGAAAGTAAACGTTGCCTAGATCAGTATCATCCAGTTCCAATCACTACTTTCCTAACGATAGCACAATCCATTCGCCGTAAATATTGCTCCAGCGTTATTTTAAAAAAAGTGGGGACGAATGGAGCCCCGTACCATAAACCGCACCAAACAGCTGTATGTTGAAGATGGACAAGTTTTTCAAAAATGAATCTTTTGTTTTCCGAGCCACAGTTGGGACAGTTTTGCTTAATGACGTAACCATCGAAATGGATCAGTCAAGTTGTTTTTTCGATGAAATTCCGTAACATTTTCATGAACTCCGAGGATCCAATTAGCAAGGATACGACGTAGTAGACGATCAACTGTCATGAGTTCATGTGTTAACTGAACTTTGGAAGCCTTAATTGCCAAGTCTTCACGACGTTTGTGGAACGCCTAATTCCAAAAGTCGACGAGGAATAGACAAATCTGAAACACTTTGAGCTACATCAGCGATATTCTCAGATTGCGACGTTCCAACAGCTCAATTTTTTCCACAAATTCTTGTTTAGCGGTCCGAGTAGGTGCTTCGCGAAGACCGAAAAATGTTTTACAAATTGTTTCCCCTATTTTTGTACTGAGTTTTAGTAGTTTCAATGCGTTGTTGAAGCTCGAATCATTCCATTTTTATTACAGACGCAGTTTTTACTTGTCAAATGCCAAAAAATTACAGTTTCAAAACTGACATCTACCGAAATAGCAGGCTGTTCAAAATAACACCTCTTATTGGAAAGGCCTTCACTTGTAATTCAAATCAACCTTAAACCGCAGTATACTATTAGCACACAAATTTTCTTCGATCTCTGATACCTTTACCGGAAAGAAATTTTAATTTAAAATGTTTACCTAGATAAAAGTCTACCAATTTATGCCAAGACAAACAGATATCTCACTACAAAAATTCAACTTATACCTCAAAGTTCAAAATGCAAATAATTGGATTAGTGTTCATAAGCTAGATTTTTTTAATTAAATAAATTTTCCGGAAGAAAAAGTGGTCGAAACCTGTTGCGCTTCGCAGTTCTGATGCTGAAAGGAAACCCTAAAAAGTACCATATAAAAAAAGTTTTTCGAAACTTTATTTCTGACGGCTGGCAACTCTTCCAAAAATATCCAACTCTCTCTTCATTACATTCTCCGATTTCGCGGTAACATGAATATCGTCTAACCTCAACACGTTTTTTGTTTTTTTGCATTGACTACCCTGTAACATGAACAAACTCTGAAGACTCGGTAAAGTGGGTAAAATTTTTTTTTCGCTGCATATATATATTATATTATACGTATGAACAACCCAGACATCCATGAAATTTGATTTTTAAAGTTCGGGGAATGAGAAATGAGAAGGACGGTGAAAAATGCATGTCATTAAAAATTCCACTAAATAAATTCTTTAATGGAAACATCAGTTACTTTCCTACAGGACTTGGGTCCTCAAGTGGAATGCTGATCCTTGTGTTAACAACTGCACTGACATCCATGAAATTGAAACAAATGAATGATGATCAATTAGAGAAAATTGCGCAAAGAGCATTGCAATGGGCTGGAGAAGCAATGGTGGATCAAAGTAACATGAATGTACTAAGACTCTTAACCATGGATCGGTCTCGCACCACCTTTACTCTTGTGAATAATGTGCATCCTCAGAGTCGCACCGATGACACTATTGCTACTGTGGAGCCATGGCCGGCAATAATTGAAGTTGTGCTCATTCACTTTATGGAAGATTTTGCGGAAAGATCTTGGTTTGTGATCTTACAAAATCCATATCGCGTCGTACGCAATTTCCATAACAAAATTTTCTTCAGCGATTAAGCTCATTTTAGGTTGAATCGATACGGTGGTGTGCTCAAAAGCGAGTGGGCCATAAACTTACAATCACTGGAGAACCTTTGCGTGCCTGAATTGGAGGATGTTGTGGTGACGACCTTTGGCGCTACATGTCATACAGTCAACGAAGCAATCAATTTTTGGAAGAAAACTATTAACGAGCGCTTTATCTGGTGTTTAGCGCCTGTGGTGTGGCCTTCAAAATCGTGCGATTTATCAGCGCTGGATTATTTTTTTGGGATTATATGAAGCCGCTTGTCTACAGAGAACAGTCAGAGATGTTTGCCGCCTTGGAAGAAGGACGAGCGCGTTATTGCTGACATGTGGCCTACCATTGCTTGTGGTTCAGCTGCATTTATTCGAACCGGTCAAGGTTGTCTCTTGCCTTGAATCTTTTTTAAATTATAATTTGAACTCTTATCTGTATAATAAAGCTAAGTTCTTGGCTATAACATTAAATATTATGAGTTTTATTTCTTATCCTTATTATAGAACAGAGCCTTTGCAGATATTTTGCTGTGTTTTCAAAAAATATTTCACCTTGTCAAATATATCCTTGTATGACTCCTTCAGAAGTGTAAGCACTGTATCAATGATTCGATTCAAGCGTGCAACTATTGAGTCATATATATACATATAAACAAACATATCTACTAATATTAATTGTAAATTTTCATTATTACAATGGATTGTGAGCGAATCGAAAGCAAACAAAAAAATTCACCTTAACCTTTGCAATTAAGTATTGTGTAAATAACAAAGGTTTCTGCAATCATAAATGTACAATATAAAAAAAAAACATATACATTTTTAATAATAGCAACTCAGACACAAGAAGTGCAATTTTAATGATTTTATTGTTTTTACCACACGAATCGCTACACATGCACATTGTCAGAACGCCACCGAAACAAAAGCAAAAGACCACCTCATAACCTGTTGAGTGCAGCAGAAAATGGGTTGGCCGTCATCATTTCAGCGTATGATTGGCACTAACAATGCTCACATGCGAGTATGTATTGTACATACGCTGCACGAACAGAGCAACAGCAGTGCCATTCATGCCGCAGTTCAATAGCGTTATTATTACAGCTGCCGTCGCGGCTACACAAACATCAATCAGTCACATAAATCAAATTAATTATTAAGTAAACAACACTTGGAAGTCGAAAGGTTCTCGAAGTCAGGAAAAATATTGAGAAAATTGCTAAGGACGGAAACAAATAGTAGCAACAGTGGCAATGATAATGGTTGCTCGCCTATATATGAATGTATGTATGAATGTTATGAGTATGTTATGAGTAAAAAGGCACGTAAATGCATAATAAAAGTTTATGGCGAAAAGCTATGGATTAACAGGAGCGTTTTGAACCTAATTATAAAGCGTAGGTAAGTATGTAATGCATATAAGTATATATTTTTATAGGTCTAAGTGCTGATTCCACGCCTCGTAAAACATTATTTGTTTCTTTATGCCTTTTTAATGCACGAAAATTATGCATCTACAAGCAAAAAAAAATTGCATAGTAGAGCAACGTACTCAAATCATTTTGCGAGTATATATATATACATATGTATGTATGTCGATATAATTGTGAAAGAGTGCTTGAAGGTGTTGGCATTTATAGTTTTTCTTTTTCAAATTTGAGTTATTGCTTTAAAGGTTCTCAATTTCCTACAGAAAATATAAGTATGTATTCTATGCACATTAGGGCGTTAAAAAAAAATTATTGAAAACGAAATGGAAAAAATTAAATAGATATCTTTTTTTTTTAACAACTGCATCAAAGCTTAAGTAATACCCATTTGTATAAATTAGGGTGGTCTTAAAAAAAATTAAAAATTCATCATTAATTAATCGAATTGGTAATATTCAAGAAAAATCTTAAATCAAAACTACAATATGTCGGGACCTCGATATACTCAAAATTAAAAATTTTCGACTTCATAAATGGAATTTCTTTCTCTTTACAGAAAATCTCAAAGTTCTCTAAGACATGGTTCTTCCCTATAATAGTCCATAATAGTCTATGTAGTGAAACGTCACACATATCTCGCACTGTATGTGAATGTCATGAATAACCGTTGCCTGACAATTTCGTGAGCGATAGGTTTGCCAGTTTCTATGCGAAAGTCAGCATTGTCTC